AATCAAACAAATGAATTTCTCCCATTTCTTACCCCACTCCCCCGCCCCCCTAAAAAAGACAACTGAGAGAGAAGTATAATAAGATAACTAAAAAATTAGTGTAAAATTAAAAATGTGATGATTATTCTAACTTACTTGTAATGTATAGGAGATGCAAAGTTTGGCTGCTGGACCGTACAGAGCGGCGATTCTCTCCTTTTGACTGAAACAGTCGGATAATTTGTTAACCAGATCCCCCAGATACAGGGGAATATACACGTTCAACATTGCAGCAGCGATAGCACTCTAGTGAATCAAATGAAACGACGCAATTTTTATGCATTACCACAACTGCCCCAATAAGTTCCAATATGTCCGGTTTTATCAAAACAAAAATATCAGTATACGTCCAGTTGGTCGGCTCTGTTTTCGCAATTTCGTCTATCACCGGGAGAACCGTCTCTAAAGGCCCGGCATTACATTGAACGCGGGGAAACCATTTTTGAGTGATCAGTGCAAGACCACAAGTAGATCCAAAGGAAAGGGATAGAAATAGGCCTTTTGGAGAAACAAATCTTGTGGTAGGAGGCACGAACCGTTGGACATTTGGAATCGATTTCAATGAAAGCGGTCGAAGCGATGTGAAAGACTTTGAGGACCAAAATCGGTGGCAACGAAGAAACATTGCCAAAAGCGTCATCGATATGTAGTATGTAGATCACTGTATTTAAATAAATCAAGAAAAGTGATAAAACAGTAGCTTATTAAAACATACGAGATAGTGATATAGTAAAAGTGCATGTTGTGACGAAGTGACTGCTCATTTTATTATCGCTGTTTAAACAAGATAACACCCTGTACGCTGAGAATTACCAGAAGAATTTCGGTAGCCAATGCTTAGCTCAAAATTTACACGAATCCATTCGCGAAATGCAGTGTTAAGATCCTGAATTGGTTAGATGTTTGTATGTTGAGAGTTGGGGTTCAACAAAACAACTAATGATCTGTAAAAAAGATTCGGGGCACTAGTTGAATCATTTTTATTCAGTTTACTTGTGTACAACAAGAGACTAACATCAAAACACAATTTTCCCCAATGTAGAAGTCTTTGTACTGGAATGCTTTCTTCTTCCTCTGCCGATTTGTATTGCATGTCATAAGGACCTATTGTTCACGAAATAAGTTCATTAATTTAAGGTGCCGCAATTCATTATGTCCCAATGGAATAGGTGGGGTATTAAGCAGGAAGACACCTAAGCTACTCACAATCAAAGTTGTATGGTGACGGTAGGGTTCGGATTATGCCAGTGATTGCTTGCTCATCATCATTCATGCTTGCTTTACCTCACTCAAACTTCTGCTTCATTCACGATTCACTGGATTCCTCGAATGCAGCGCAATATTTACCGATTTAACCGCTAAACACAAGGATAGGGCTGCTGCTGTCAGAGATATTTTTGAAGCCGACGCATCCTCGTGCATAGGATAGTCGCGTAGAAGTAAATCACGTCAGAGTACAGTTTGGCGCAATGGATGGGTAATGGTGTACCACGGGATTTATTCCACATAACCGCCAGCAAAAGTGCAGATAGAATTAGGATTCAGTGATGAATGATCGTCGATGAAGGGAAGTAACAGGATAAGATAGCACGGAACCTTGTGGGAGAAGGAATTTAACTAGAATCTCCCTTGAAATGACTCCATTAACAAGAAGCCAGACTAAACAATTCGAAGGAAAGTTTACCATCCAAAGGACGAAACGCAAAGATTCTGAAATTGGAAAGTTTTACAGTGATACCAAACACGGTCGAACACCTTGGAGATATCGATGGAGACTAGATGTGGCTCACCATGGTGGTCAACAGCGGAGGACCAAATGTGAAACTTGTTTCAAACCAGGTTGCCACTGGCAATCGTCTAGAAGGCCAAAGACAAATAGTGAGGCAAACACATTCACAGACTGTTTTTTAGATAGTCGCTCGTTATCATCCCTTATCAGAGTAGTTTCCAGTGATTTTGGTGCCCGACCTTTTCCCTAAGTGAAGAACGCTCTTGGTGAACAGGTCCCCGATTCCAACTAAAAGGCTACGGTATTTGTCTCCCTTTGTGCTTCCAAATTTTCCGTAACATCATCTACCACTCTTCTTTAACCGAGTTGTGACTCCAAAATCATAAGGAAAACACTGCATTCTCTTTCCTACAACACTTTGTGCTTCTTTGTCACCATTCATTCGTTTTTCAGTCAATTCAAACCAGAGAGCTATCGCTGATTGGGACGCAAAACATGCAATCGTTCTCACTGCCACCGTAATGGCTGTGCTCCCAGTCAAAATTCCAACTCTTATTCATCTCGCTACCGTTCTGCCTGGCCTCCAATTTCACTTTTCTATATTCGGGTATTGTTTGATGTGCATCCCATGAGTCCGAGAGGATTCACTATTTTGACCGTTTTCTCTACTCTATTTTTTCGTCTTTAAAAGGATCCAATAGGTCCACTGAAATTCTCCATTTTCTCACTGACCCCACTTTCAGCTTGCCTGTCTTTTTTCTACCGCTTCAGCCAAATGAGCAGCCAAAAGAGGACCACCAAAAACGACTCACGAAAGTGAATGGTTAATGGCTGTGCAAACTTAACTGAAATGAGTATTGGTTGTTGTAGTCTGAGGCAGGGCCTGCTCTTTCTCTTAGCCACGATTGAGCTGTGATCAGCGTATAATCATTCGTCCTGCCGCCGATCCATCTGAAACATTCATTCTACATTTGCTTACCTAATGTCGCGCGATAACCTCCTAGTCTTGGCTCTGCCGTTACTGCAACCGATTTTGTTCTCTTAAACTTGCCAATTCTGTCCTTCCCCAATTTTTATTCCTCGCGTTACCTCACCGCTACCAAGTGACTATAAAACCCTGTTGAACGGCGGTCGTCGAATCCTTTTGTTCTAAAAAAACTGCGGTATTGTGAAACATTCTCCATTACTCTGTTTTTCCTTCTTCGGGTACAATCTCTACATTCAAAGGTATTACCAGTTTGTCAGCGATCAGTGAAGTTCGCTTCACTGTATTTCGCTGTACGATGATGCTGAAGCACAGAGTCAAAAAGCTGTTTTTGGAAGTATCCCAACTTGTTCCTAGTGTACAGTAACCTTTACGAGGTTGTGGTTTATCCTTTAGTTCACACCATAATTGCCATGTAATTGCAAAAAAAGTTCATTCGACAAAATGTAGGAACGGTCAAACAGGGCATCCTTGACGAACGCCACTAATGGTGATGAACGGAGTACTTAGTTCGCTGTAAACCCTCGCTCGACCAGAGGCATAGGAGTAAAAAGACCACAGCAGGTTAACGTAGTTCTGGGGCATTCCTTCTCGAAGAACGGAATCCATCAGAACTTGGCTTACGAGGTTGTCAGCCCCCATCTTGAAAAGAGTGGGAGAGAGCCCATCTGGTCCTGATGCCTTTCCTCGCTTTAAAGCTTGAATGCAAGACCGATCTTCTAATTCGGCTGGAGAATCGTACTGCACTGCCCACCGACGGTGGCCCGGTGGTAACGT